CTTTAAGAATAAAATAAGGGCTGGGAAGGTGGCTCAGTGGTAGAGCGCTTGCCTTGCATGCCTGAGGCCCTGGGTTCGATTCCTCAGCACCACATAAGCAAAAAGAAAAAAAGTAGAAAGTGGCGCTGTGGCTCAAGTGGTAGAGTGCTAGCCTTGAGCTGAAGAGCTGAGGGACAGCACCCAAGCCCAGAGTTCAGGCCCCACGACTGGACCCCCCCAAAAAAAAAGAAATAAAGCCAAACTAACTTTTCTTTTAATAAATAAGCTGAGTACAACTAGACACAAGTACACACATAAGAGCTAATTTTCAGTCAACACACTCCAAGAAAGAGAATAGCACCAAGGTCTCCCTGGCCCCTCAAACCTGGTCCCCTTTCCACGATCATCCTGCCTTTCTTCCCCAAAGACCACCAGTCTGCCTGGCTGAGATGTTTATATTGTGAAATTATATAGTAAGCCCTCCTTAGCATATGGTTTTTCCCCCAGTTCTTGTGTTTCGGTCTGATCTTTACCCATCTTGTTACACAGACCTTGCCTGACAGTACCTCAGCTGGCAGGTCTCAGTAACTCCTGATCAAACACTGGGTATTTGAGCCTCCTTCACTAGATTTCTGCAAGTGCTTACAAATAAGCTATCCATTCCTCAGCCCTTGAAAAATGTAGGGTCCTTCACTTCCTGCTGGCCTTTGTAGTTTGACACAAACTCGCTGCCATTCAAATCAGTGGTCACACATGCAGCCATTGTTTCTCTCTAGACAACCTTTGTCAGAAGTTTTATCATAATTGTTGGTTTGGTTTAGTTTACTCAGCTTCTTGAGCCTATAGATCTGTCATTTGCCAAAACTTGGATCTATTGTGTTTGTTATGGTACTGGGGATTGAACCTAGGGACTCATGTTTTCTAGAATGGTCCTCTACGCCTTCAGCTCAAGTAGATGGTGTTAAGGAAATGGAATCTCTCTGGCTTTCCTGCTCAAAGCAACTTTGAACTACTCTCCTCTTGATCTTCAACTATGAAATTGAACCCTCCCCCCCATTTTCAGATTGAATGGATTCTATTGGTGTGTCACTAATCAAATCTCTCACCACCATTCTATGCTGCTGCTGAACACATCTAGGAAGTACTTTGTTATTATACTTTTTATTTTTGCAATTCGGTCTGGTACTTCATTGTTTTTTGTCTTTTTATAATTTAAAAATCCTTTCAACAGAATTTACATTGGGTTGTGGAAGCCTTTTTGTATTTAAAAGTCCTAGCTGGGTATTGGTAGTTCATGCCTATAAGCTTACTCAGGAGTCTGAGATCTGAGGATCATGGTTCAAAGCCAGACCGAACAGAAAAGTTTGTGAGACTTTTATCTCTAATTCCCCACCAGAAAACCGGAAGTGGTGTGGCTCCATGTGGTATAGTGCTGGCTTTGAGTGTAAAAACTCAGGGACAGCTCTCAGGCCCTGAGTTCAAGCCCCATGACTCATGTTCTTCCCCCACTCCACCCCCCCAAAAATAATTCCAGCATCCAATTTATTTCTATCAATATCAAGGTGTTGATTACAGTGCTGACATCAGCCATCTTGCACTCACGTTAAATGTAATTTTCTCAGAATCCTAAATGGTGGGTCCTACCTTTTTGGTACCAGACCTGGGTACTGTGTCTGAGAACCTACGACTCCCTCTTAAGGCAGCGAGCAAGAGCCCAGCAAAGTCCAGCTCCCATCCACTGGGACATTGACCATCAGTCTCCTGGGGAGCTAAGGCCAGTCAGGAGCATGTGAGTGTCCTACGAGGCCAGCATTGAAGCTAATGGATTGTTCTGGACATCACCTCCATCTGACCAGCACTACATCAGTACCCTCCAGACCTCACCAAGATCATGGCCAAGACTCAGGTGGTGGCCAGCTTAAGGGGGTGGGGGTCCACTGGTACCCTCCTGCTGGACAACACTGCATCTGCCATTGTCGGCATCATCATGCTGTGAGCATCACCACGACCTGGACATCTCAGGCCCATGTTTCTAGAGTGGAGATGAAGTGAGAGGCTGAGCTCACAGTGGAACTGGGGTCTCCAGGGCCAACAGTGCAGAGGGAACACTGACCACCGAGACAAGCAGCTAACTGAAATCTTGATTACTGGTCGTAATTGGCCTGGGCTCCACATGTCACTTCTTTCCAGACTGAGAGCTGAGGGGATGAGTTAGTGGATAGACTTGTGCCCTGCTACCTGACTCGGGAGGGAGGAGACAGCCCTATCGGGCAGAGAGCTAGCAGGACCGGCAAAGCCCTCCACAGACAGCAGGGAAGGACCCTGCAGGAGGAAGGTCTCCAGTATCTGCTTAAGGCTAAATTCACTGAACTTTCAGTATTCTGAGCGGAGGCCAACACCATCAGGGGATATCCTGTCACAAAGTCATCCTCCTCCAGCCAGGGGAGGAGTGGGTAGTTATAGAGCATCAGAAATGTATCATAGCCAGGCACCAGTGGCTCAGGCCTGTAATCCTTGCTACTTAGGAGGCTAAGACCTGATGACTGTGGTTCAAGGCCAACTCTGGCAGGAAACTCTGTGAGACTTTTAATTAACCATCAAAAAGGCAGAAGTAGAGGTGCGGCTCAAGTGGTAAAGCACTAGCCTTGAGCAAAAAAGGCTCAGAGACAGTGCCCAGGCCTTGAGTTCAAGCCTCAGGTCTGATACACACACACACATTATAGATAAAGATATAGACAGATCTCTCTCTAAATATATATGGAGAGTGTGTGCACGCATATGTATACATGCACCAGTACTTGAACTTGGGGCCTGAGTGCTGTCCCTTAGCCACACTTCCACTCCCAGCTTTTTGATGATTAATTGGAGGCAAGAATCGCATGGATTTTTCCTGCCTAGGCTGGTTTTGACCCATGATCCTCAGATCTCAGCCTCTTGAGTAGCTAGGATTTACAGACATGAGCCACCAGTGCCTGGCTATAATATATTGAGTGCCGAATGTGAATTGATTATCTGAACACACGTCTTTTAAAAACTAAAACACACACACACACACACACACACACACACACACACACAGAGATTTAAAAATAAAGCAAAATAAAAGTCAGGCGCTGGTAGTTCACATATATAACCCTAACTACCCTAAAGGCTGTAATCTGAGGATCAAGGTTCCAAGTCAGCAGTCTGTGAGACTCTTAGCACCAATTGGCCAACAATAAGCCCAAAAGGGAGCTGAGGCTCGTAGTAGAGCCAAGTAAGAGAGCAAGATGCTGAGTCCAAGCCTCAGTACCAGCAGAGAATACAAAAAACAAAACAAAAACAACCAGGCACACACAGAGAGACATATACAACACATAGTGTGAGTCACACAAATGCCTGTCTCATGAGGCTTAGCAAGGTCATAATTTTTATTATTATACTCTGAATAGAGATGGTATTTAAAGAGCAGAGAAAATGACTATACAAAGGATTTATAGAACAGTCATTTACATACTGGATATATATTCTTTACAATATCAGAAGAGTAAAAATAAACGCTAACAAGTAAGGCAGGTGAGGATACAGTACAGGGTCTTGGGCACTGAGGGTAACCGTAGTGAACATTTAACATGGCTATCACTTACCACTGGAGGAATATACGCTTGAGTAGGTTAATAAGGACCCTGGTGAGTACAAGTGTTGGTAGGACATGGTTATTGTGAACTCACTGCACTGACTCCCAGGACAGTGTTTAAGCCGGACTAGAGCTCCAGGGGCAAAATGCCCAAGGAAAGGTCCTGAGCACACAAACGGGAAAGTCTGAGACTTGTTCCATCTAACCCACAGTCACTCGAGGAGTAGAAAACCTGCCATACCATGGGAAGGAAGGTAGCTTCCCATGGTTCATCAGAGGGAGCTGTGTGTGCTCAAAGGGAATTCCTAGATGGCCTTGATCACCTTTACCTTTGAATCAAACTCACACCTGGCCGATCTGGTGGAAAGGCAGTGAGGGTTGCTTCTTGAGTGCACTCTACAAAGGCCTTCCTAGAGGTCCTGGTGTCTGAACACAGCTGCACACTCCTCCTGCTCTCACCATTACCAGGCCCCCGTCTATTCAAGAGGGATATGGGACAGGGCCTGGGGTCTTGGGTCCCCTTTGGGTAGAAATCATCAGTGGGCAGACTCAGCTTCCCTTGTCAGGTTGTCTGCAGTGGAAGAAAAACTGAAATGCTAGGAGCCTCAGGGAAACATATCAGGGCCTTCCAGAGAATGCCAGAACATTCTCTAATAGCCACAAGGTGGTCTGTGAAGACCAAGGCAAACATTTGGCACAGAAAGGAGGCACTTGGCTTTTGGTGCATCAAATAGGAGCTAAAAAGTGGAGTAATCCTCCAGTTCACGAACACCCTCACACTCACACACACTCGCTCGCTCATTCCCTCACACACACACACACACACACACACATACCATCCTCATGATTCGATTGCTTCCAGCTCTGCCTGAAGCTGTACCTTCCTCTGCCCATCACTGAAAACCTACTGAGCCCATTCCCCCAAGCCCATCTTGGTAACCTGTGTGCCTGTGGCCTTCCAAACACTAGGAAGAACAGGAATTTCAGAATGGCTCATAATGGGGGTGGGAGGCAACTGAAGCTCCCACAAACCACAATGGGTTGTGCGGGAAGGAGCCTGTAGCTTTGGCTCCACACGGCCTGGTTCCGTCTCTCAATACTGGTAAGTCCCAGGCTCACCACAGCTCCCAAACCCATGACAGCTGCAGGTGAGCAAGATGGCTATTGGAAAATGCACTTGAGCATGATCTGTCACTGTCACACCCAATTCCATGGCCAGGATGACACAGAGAAGTGTCACCGATCAGAGCCTGTAAGACTGGTATTCCTGTTTTGTTTTGTTTTTTTTTTTTTGATGGGTAGTGGGCTTGAACTCTGGGCGCTGTCCCTCAGCTCTTCAGCTCAAGGCGAGCACTCTACCACTTGAGCCACAGCGCCACTTCCAGCTTTCTGGTGGTTTATTGGAGTTAAGAGTCTCATGGACTTTCCTTGCCAGGGCTTGCTTTTAACTATGATCTTCAGATCAGCCTCCTGAGTAGTTAGAATGATAGGCGTGAGTCATCAGCGCCCGGCTGGAATTCTTGCTCTTTTCCCCGAGTGTCATGTGACACAGGGAAGCTGCAGGTGCCACCCGAAGCAGCAACGGGGCACCTTACAAAGGTCATTCAGGCCTGCACAGGACTCCAGCCAGGACCACAGTGGGTGAGAGGCTCACCCCAGCATTCCCAGGACTCGAGGCAATCAGCCTGGAAAAGGCATGTCCATATACAAAGCACAGGTTGGGCTTCTGAAAGCAAAGCCGCCTGTTCGGAGTACCGCAGGTGGGGGACTCTCAGGTCACCCCCATACCACTGCTTGTCTTCTAGAGGTCAGGGGTCGGGGGCCCATGAGGGGACAAACATCTTGAACACTGCAGCTGCCGTCAAACAATGGCAAACTGTATAAATAATTTGGCATTAAGTAAAATATAAATTATACAGAAATGGCATTTTTGCTTCCCTCTTCTCCCTTCTCCTTCCAGGTCCTTCCGGGCTCTCTCCAGTCCAGCGCTCCATCTATGCACAGAGCCAGAGTCTCCCCACGAGCGGTAGGTAGGTCTCTTGACTCTGCACACTCCTCCATGCCTGGTATCCAGCCGCCCTCATCCTCGTAGCCCACAGTGCTGTCCCCTAGTCCACGGCTCCTCCATTTCTGGAAGGGTCTGACCTGCTCGAACCTTCTTCAAACATGCGTCCCTTTCTCAGTTTCATCCGCATCTCAGTGGTGGGAGGGAGGGAGGGAGATGCCGGCCTAGGGCGTTGATGCACAAGATGGCTCCTGCCCAGTGGGTTCAGTACTCTGCCCTCCCCGAGGCTGGTGTGCCAGAACACGGGGTACCTCGCATTCCATGCTCTCTCCTGGCACAGCACTTTCCCCTGGCTTTCTGGCCAGGAACCCCTGGGCCAAGTTCCTTCTACTCCAAAGTGCTTTACAGACAAGTGGCGGATAAGTTCCTCTCAGGAAAAGGTCAACCCTTGCTGACATTGTTCTTGTTTGTGTGGACTGTCAGGATTATTGGGGTGTTACAAAGTGAGGGCCTTGCCTCATCCCACTGCCATTGTGAACATCTCAAGAGGCATTTGGTGGGGGTTCTGGGCTAGGAGGGGCTCTCAGATCTTCTTTGGGGAGCCAATCATGACCTTTGACACGAAATTGACTATGGCGCTGGCTGGCTGCTCCGGGTCGTGTTCTGCAAACAGGTGGCACACGTTGTCTGTGGCACTGCCCTGCTTTCGGGCCACAAATCCAAAGACTCTGCAGGAAGAAAAGCTCAGATCAGAGGAGAATCTGGAGCTGGGGAGAGCAAACTACATCCCCTGCCCGAAATCAAAACACACACTCATCTTAGTGTACTCCACCCACAGCTTGCCCATGGGGTAGGAACCCAAGTTCCTAGGCGCCGGTGGACATGGGGGACTCAGGGTCTCAATGGTGGGGGTCCTACAGGTCTGGGAGATGACACAGAAGTCCCATCCCACCCAGTCTTGCTGTCCTCACCCATTGGGGCCCCAGGGAAATAGGCCAAGACTTCTCCTCAGGTCTCCTAAGCCTCTTTGGCCACATATACCCAGTTTAGGAAGCTGTACCTAGTTCTTTCTCTAAGAAATTCATTTCTCTAAGAAAACCATCATCTTAATAGGCTTTTCAAAGTCTGAAGTTTAACACAATCAGGATCATTCCTTCCCACCCCCCCACCCCCCCCCCCCGCCAAAAAAAAAAAAATAATGCCTATGATCTCTCTGCTTTTTCTAAGAAAAAAAAAGGAGTTTCTGTTTCAGCTTAGTTTTCACACCACGGAAGGGTTAGGCCACTGACACCCCAAATTACAAGCCTGAGGCCCAAGGGTGTTGGGAACATGGTCCTTTGGAGCTCAGAGGAGGCTACCAGCACTCACCACACTAATGGGGAGTTCTGGGAAGAGATCAAAGGGAATGAGGCCCACAGTGGACAGTGAGGTTATTAAAACTGGGCAGAGGACAGAACTGCAGATAGCAGGGTAGGACAGAGTCCCTTTGTTCCCCCCAAAGGCACATTTCCTGGGAAAGAATCCTCCCAGAAGAATGTCTGAAGAAAACACACCTCAAGCTGTGCTCTTCCTCCCAGCTCTGAGCACCACACCCCACACTCCCACCTGGCTGGAAAGGATGAGCGATCTGTTTTATTACTCACGTCCTGGCCAGCAGGCACAATTAGCTCTATCTATCTATCTATCTATCTATCTATCTATCTATCTATCTATCTATCTATCTACCTATCTATCTACCTATCTATCTATCTATCTATCTATCTATCTATCTATCTATCTATCTATCTATCTATCTATCTATCTATCTATCTATCGTCAGTCCTGGGACTTAAACTCAAGGCCTGAGCACTGTCCCTGAGCTCTTTTGCTCAAGGCTCACACTTGAGCCACAGCTCCAGTTTTGACTTTTTAGAAGTTCATTAGAGATAAGAAAGAGTCTTATGGACTTTCCTGCCTGGTCTGCCTTTGCATTGTGATCCCCAGAATTCAAACTCCTGAGTAACTAGGATTACAGGTGGGAGCCACCAGCACCTGACCTGTTTGTATTTTCAAGCAAACAATCTTACTGATCTGACTCTGGTTTTCATACAAGGAATCTCTTTTGGAAAGCTGGAACTAAATTCAACTTTGGACTATGATTCTATGTGAAAAATAAAGGCGGTGACTTACTTGGAGGAAGGGCCATCTTTGATCCACCTTGAGAATTAAAGAGAAAAGAGGTTAATTTTTAAGTTAAAAAGGTAAAACAAAGGATCTGTCTCACTTAATTAAAATGTAAACTTCTTACTTCCGGTCTTGTGGGTCCAAAGCACAGAAAATCACGCTGCTCACGGGGTAATGCCTCCGGAAGAAGAGCCTGTGGGGTGCGTGGGAACAGAGGGATGCTCCTGTTACTGGGGTACTAGGAGGGATGGGTGATGTGATGGCTCCCCATCTCCCCATAGGTGAAGATCGGTGGGGGTAGAAACCATTGGATACTTCCCCCTTTGTATTTTAAGGAGAAAGGCAAGCTTTGTGCTTGGGAAGAGTCAACAGGCCATGTGGTATGTAGGACAGAATCAAGGAGCCCCAAGGGGCTTCAGGGGAGACATGGGCAAAGAGAGGCATCCTGGGCCCCCAGACCTGTCCAGCCTCAGTCTCATGGCCTATGAAGACAGCATCCTAAGACATCCTGATGCTTTCATAGCATGGTACCCACACGGACACAGGGAGTGGTTGACACAGCTTCAACTCAGCTCACGAGGCCAGGCCAAACCTGGCGTTTTTCCTTTGCTCTTCTTATTTGTGTTGCTGAATTCCCAGGTTTCCTTTTTGTGTGTGTGTATGTGTGTGTGTGTGGGGGGGGGGGGGTCTTTTGGTGCAGGTACTGGGGCTTGAACATAAAGACCTGGGTGCTGTCTCAGCTTTCTTACTCAAGGATGGTGCTCTTCCACTTTTGAGCCACAGCTCCACTTCCAGTTTGGGTGGTTAATTGGAAGTAAAGAGTTTCAAGGACTTTCATGGCCAGGCTGGCTTCGAAATGGGAATTCTCAGATTTCAGCCTCACAAACAGGATCATAGGTGCAAGCCACATGCACCCATCCCCAGGTACTTTTGTGTAAATGTGAAAGATGAAGAATTCCAGCACCAGAGAAGGAAGCAACTTGCCCATGTTCACTGCTGGTAAGCATGGAGAGAGAGCACTGAACTCGGAGTCAACCAGCTAAGCCCAAGGCTTGTCTCTGATTCCTGTCTTACTGGGTGAAGGAATATGAGCAAAATCTGCCCAAACTTACTTCATCCATTCTAAAATAATGGTTGGAAGACTCCGTCTTCAAATTCACCCAGTTTAGGCAAGTGAAAACTATCCAGAGACAGACCAGGAGCAGGCACTGTTGGGGAAGGAAATGGCAAGGGAAAATCCTGTACAGAATGCTGTGGTAGGTCTGTGTCCTGTGCGTATGTCTGTCTGTCTTCTAGGGTTCCTGCCACCTCCCTGTGACATGGCTAGCAAGCTGCCTTCCTTGTTAATCACACAGGCTAGGACCCTAACTAACACCTGACAGTTATGTCCTGACCTTGGGCCAAAGGCACCATGCACCTCCCAGATAACTGTGGGGGGTGAGGCAGAGGGGCGTGAGCCTGTAACGGTGTATTCCCCACAGCCCTGGGGATCAGTCAATGCCTGCACCAGCATCACCAAAGCAGTAAGCAGGAACAATGAAGGCCTATGAGTTCAGCCAAAGGGAACAATTTGTACCCAGGCCCCACTCTCACTTGAAACACTATGAGCATCAACTACTCACTAGACACTACATTGAAATTGAACTACACAACTTAAAGGTGGGGATGGGAAGTAAAAACTGGGAGAGAGGGAGGGAAGGAATGACGCCCAAAAGCAAATGTTCTCTTTACCTGACTTACATAAATATAACCCCTCTGTGCATCACCTTTATAATACAATTTTAAAAACAACAACAATGTTAGCCAGGCATGCTGGCTCACATCTGTAATCCTAGCTACTCAGGAAACTGAGATCTGAAAATCAAAGCCAGAACAGGCAAATTAAAACCACCACAAAGCCGGGCGCTGGCGGCACACCTGTAATCCTACCTACTCAGGAGGCTGAGATTGGAGGACTGCAGTTCAAAGCCAGCTCTGGCAAGGAAAGTCCGTGAGACTCTTATCTCCAATAAAGCAACAGAAAACCAGAAGTGGCGCTGTGGCTCAAGCGGTAAAGTGCTCACCTTGAGCTGAAGAGCTGAGGGATAGCGCTCAGGCCCAGAGTTCAAGCCCCACGACCAACCAAAACTAAAAACAAAAACAAAAAACTACCACAAGACTCTTATCTCTAATTAAGCAGCAAAAGGCCAGAAATGGAGCTGTGGCGCAAGTGGCAGTCTTGAGCAAAAAAGCTAAGCTAGAACACTAGGCCTTCACTTCAAGCCCTAGTACTGGTTCAAAGAGGGAAAAAAAATAATGATGCTGAAATGGGAAATACCTTTGATCAGTCTCACAGTGTTTCTAAAATAATGACTAAAGTCAGGCACTGGTGGCTCATGCCAGTAATCCTAGCTATTCAGGAGGCTGAGATCTGAGGATTGAGGTTCAAAGGTAGCCCAGGCAGGGAAGTCTGTGAGACTCTTATCTCCAATTAACCACTAAAAAAGCTGCAAGTAAAGCTGTGGTTCAAGTGGTAGAGCACCAGCCTTGAGTGAAAAAGCTAAGGGACAGAACCCAAGCCCTGAGTTCAAGCCACAGTACAGGTTTGCACATGTGTGTGCAAACCTAAAAGACTAAAAAGATCTATGCATTTGCATATGACATGGAATATTCAGAACCCCAAATACTTTTTTAAAAAAAAAATATGGATTCTTAAGATAAAAACCTTTACATGTGAACGGCTTACATACAGTTCCTGAGACCTTCTTAGTAACAGGAACAGCCTAGAAGAGGCTGGCCACCGAAGACCTCAAAGGCTGCTAATGACTTACTTAAGACAACCATTCACACAAGAGAAGAGCAAGCAGCAGCTATGGCCCTGCAGGGAGAAGGACCCTCCCACCTCCCATAGGGATCAGGGCCCACCCCAGCTCCCTCTTAGAACTCACTTCCTCTGATTGTCCGTCAGGGTGATGCCCTGTGTGGACACTTTGAAGTGCACCACCGTGGACACCGGGGCTGGCTCTTGGGCCAAAGTCATGCTCAGGGCCTTCTGGACCGCCTGGTGACCTGTAAGGGATTCCATCTCCACAGAGTTCAAGTACCACACATTGCAGGCTGGAAGACAAGGGGAGAAGCAGGGGCCTGTCAGCCATGACAGCTGGTATACACGGTGGAGGCAGACAGGCACAGGGTGGCTCATCAACAGCCTGCACAGGTGACCCGGGCTTGGTGCATTTCACAGCAGGCATCGCGGGTCCGCAAGTCTGATGACATGCACAATAATGACCAAAGGCATTTACTTCAATGGCAAGGTGGTGAAGGAGCTTTTCCAAGACATTCTCAGGGAGGCAGCATGTGGTAGATTCCAAAGAATTCCCCGCCCCAGGTCCTATTGAGGTGACAATGCAGGATGCAGAGACAACACAAGCCCATCAGAGTAGACAGGTCTATCTGCAGATAGATCTGTCTATCCTTTGTTTTGTGCCAGTACTGGGGCTTGAACTCAGGGTCGCACACTCTCATTTGTTTTTTTTTTTTTGCTTTTCTCAAGATGGGTGCTCTACCACTTGAGCAATACCTCCACTTCCAGTATTTTGCTGGTTAATTGGACTGCCTTCAAATGGAGATTAGCAGATCTCAGCCTCCTGTATAGCTAGGATTACAGGTGTGAGCCACCAACACCCAACCCATTCTCTCACCAACCTTCTGAAATAAACATAGTAGCTAACAAGGAATTTTAGAAGTCAGTTCCCCAATTCAAAAGATGCTTGCTAGGGCTGGGAAGGTGGCTCAGTGGTAGAGCGCTTGCCTTGCATGCCTGAGGCCCTGGGTTCGATTCCCCAGCATCACATAAGCAAAAAGAAAAAAAGCCGGAAGTGGCGCTATGGCTCAAGTGGTAGAGTGCTAGCCTTGAGCTGAAGAGCTGAGGGACAACGCCCAGGCCCTGAGTTCAGGCCCCACGACCAGACCCCCCCCCCCCCAAAAAAAAAAAAGATGCTTGCTCTCTTAGGAAACAAAGCATAGCCAAAGATGGGGAATGCCCTCTCACAGAGAGCTTTGATAAAAGCTGGTGTCACTTGGGCCAACTTTGGCTGATAATGTGGCCAAACTTACCAGGAAGACCCTAAACACCTAGAACTAACCTATAAGTCCCAGTGCTGGGAAGACTGAGAAGGAAAATAGACCCCAGCCAGTGGTGTAAGTCAACTACAGAAGCTATTGGGACTATACAGCTATTACAGAGGGCAAACACTGGAAAGAGATTCTGTCCAAAAAAGAGAAGCTTCAATTTGTCCTCCGGGGAAAATACTAAGCAACCAGCAAACAGCAACCAGGAAAATTATATAGCAACATGGAAAAAGAAAAAAAAAAAAAGGCTCACAGGTAATTGGAAAAGCAGAAGAGTCTCTACTATGAATAGAACTGTAAAGTAGAAAGCATGTGTGCCCATAAAACCCCTACTAAATTGAAAGCAGGTTTTAAGAGGGTAAATATTTTACCTGTGTCTTCTACACAAGACAAGTTGGAGAGAAGAGAGGTGGAAAAAGAGAATTTTGACCCAACTACCATGAAAATGGCCCCATTGGTACAACCTGGAATGGCATTCACATGGACCCCACTGGCAAAACAGAGAGACAGAGCAAGCGTGGGTGCGTGCGTGTGGGGGGGGGGGGGGGGCGGGGAGGAGGTGGTGTGTGTGACTGGGGCTTGAACTCAGGACCTGGATCTTAGCTTTCTCTGCTCAAGCTGGTGCTCTACCACTTGAAACATACCTCTGCCCCTGGGTTTTTGGTGGTTAATTGGTGGTGAGACTCATAGACTTCCCTGCCTGGGCTAGCTTTGAGTCATGATCTTCACACCTCAGTTTCCTGAGAAGCTAGGATTACAGGTGTGAGCTATCAGCTATCCTGCTAAGGAGGGGATTAACTGACTGGTGCTGCAGCTGTCCTCGAGCTACCTGAGCGAGGCCTGGTCCAGGCCCATCCAATTCCAATTCCATAGACTAGTGCTGGGGCAAGGAGAGAAGATCTGGAAGGCAGTGTCTCATGGGACATTAAGCAGGGCAGTACTCACCAGGCCCATGGGGGGCGGGGCGGGGGGTGCTACTTCACAGTATGGAAGCAAGGCTCAGACCAACATATTCTGACCTTGGAATCTCACTTCTGCCAATGTATCTCAAGACAACGATGTAGAATGAAGAAAAACAAAGCCAAAGACAGATGAAATAGACAACCAGATAATTGAATTACAAGATGGACCATTGTATAATCATTAAGAAATGTGACCTGGATCATGATTGTAAAAAAAATCATGCAAAATTTGTAAGGGAATATGAAAGACCGATCCACTGTATATGTGTGTGTGTGGAGGGGGGGAAGGGGCACAGGAGGTCCAACCCCAAGAATGAGAGGTGACAAGACTGATCTGTGATGTTCTTCCTCCCAGTATGAGAAAGAGGTTTTCCTTCTTTCCTGTATTACCTTACAGAATACATGTTGCTTTTATAAAGAAATCATACTTACAGAACACCAAGACGAAAAAACACATCATGCCGGGTGCTGGTGGCTCACACCTGCAGTCCTAGCTACTCAGGAGGCTGAGATCTGAGGCTCTTGGTTCAAGCCAATCAAGGCAGGAAAGTCTGTGAGACTCTTATCTCCAACAACCAGTAAGAAGCTGGAAGTGGAGCTGTGGTTCAAGTGTAGAGCACTAAAAACTCAGGGACCACCCAAGGCCCTGAGTTCAAGACCCATAAGCGGCACAAAAAAACACATCACATTTTGGTACTAGTGGCATAGCCCTGTAATTCTAGCTATTTTCAGAAGGCTGAGATCCAGAGGATCTCAGTTCAAAGCCTGGAAAGAGAAGCATGTGAGACTCCATCTCCAAAATAACCAGCAAGGCTCAGGAGGCAGAGCACCAGCTGAGCAAGCAAGCTGAGTGAGTGTGAGGCTCAGAGTCCAAACCATGCAAAAAACAAAAAATACGAAGAACAACAACAAAACTCCCACCATGTTTATAGGAAACCTTAGATATCTGATAAAACCATTTTTCTTTCCAGGATTATCCTACATTCCTTCAGCACAAGAAGAAACAATTAAGAACAAGTTTAAAGCACAAACAGCACAAGAAGAAACAATTAAGAACAAGTTTAAAGCACAAACAGAAATTATACAGAGATTGGATCAAAGTCATCCTGGCCTCCTCAGTATCAAATGACGTGGGGTTAAAGCGAGTAGGATTACATTGATTCCCATCCTGTGAGCTGTCTGACTGCTACTATGTCTGAGTCTTGGCTTCTACTAGTGAGACTATGGGCCCGGGTGATTTCAGGGAACTTTCTATCCCAGAGTCCGGGATCCTGAGTGAAGCGGAATGCAGTTTTAGCAAAGAAAACCCACTTGCAGAGATCAGAGACACGGCAGCCTCACTGCTGTGATGCAGCAGCTACCTGGCACTGACAGTGCCCAACCACAGCTGATCCTGCAGGCAACGCTGACACTGACTGGGGCCCAACCAGATCCATGCTTCCCTGGAAGCTGCTCCCCTACTCCTTGCCTCAGCAGTGTGGCTTTCGATATGGTAGCAAAACAAGAAGATACCAAACTGAAGGTGCAGCTCAAATGATAAGAGTGCCAGCCTTGAGCAAACAAACAAACGAGAGTCCCAGAGTTCAAGCTAAAGTACCAGTACAAACAAAACAAAACAAGGAGATCTCTTTAGGCGTATTATACCTTATCATAGCGTTGTAGCTATAAAGTATTATATAGATATGTAATAAAACACTGAAGTATTTCTAATACAAACGTCCACTGGAACCAAAATTTCCAACATTTCTGCAACTACCTGTGTAAAGATCTCCTTTGCAAATGTCTCTTCCCCCCCTTCTAAACAAAATGTACAATCTTCCAAAGACACGCCCACAAAGCAGCCTGGTCTCTGCAGAGAGCTGGGGGTGGGGCCTCTCTCACCAGGCTGATGGCAGTGTGGGCCCCATGGTGACTCATGTCTACTGATGGTTGAGTCACACATCTTGGGAACGTTTTTACATTCACAGCTGGCAAGACAGGTCACCACATCCTGTCTCACTGCACTTCCCTCCCAACCCCGAACTAAATCCAGGACTCACCACTATTCTGCTGAATTTGGTCTGGTCCTAAAGTAATGTTTCCAGGCTGTGATACCCTGGGCCCGTCCCCTGACAACTGTACCCCACCCAGCTCTGTGCAAGCTTCTAAAAAAGGAAACTTCCTTCACAGTCCACAGGGAAGAAAGAAACCTGAATAAAGATGGTGCCCAGACACCAGGGGATGGGAGAGGAAGCTGTGTCCACTGACCTGCCCCCTGCTTCAACAGCTCCGCTGCTGAATTGGCTGCAGTCTGGGGAGAATTCTCTGTCATTTCCTCCAATGGATCTGCAGGAAGGAGCAAGAAAACACAGTTGTGAGTCCTCAAGAAAAGATCAAGACACGGATAACAGAAGTTCCGGATGGTGACATGAAATGGCTTTGCAGAATGAAGTTTCTCTTCAGGACAAATAGATGCTCAGAGAAACGGATCATATTCTGAGCCAAGTGAGGGAATTTAGCAATCAGACTATGATCTCTAAATTCATGGATATGAGTAGTCAACTTTTAAAAGGCAAATCCCAGTTGCCTAATATATTTTGGGGAACTCAGAACTCTGTGCACTTGCTTGGCTCTTTCCCTCAAGGCTGATGTTCTACTGCTTGAGTCACACCTCCACTGCTGGCTTTTTGCTGGTTAACTGGTGGTAAGAGTATCACAGACTTTCCTTCCTGAGCTGGCTTCAAACTGTGATCCTCAGATTTCAACCTCCTGAGTAGCTAGAATTACATGTGTGAATCATCAGCACCTGGCTCATCCATATTTTTAATTAGATAATTTTTACAGAGAATTATCTTTACATGGAATTAAGGCGGCTTGAGAAAGTTGGGCCATAGAGTCAATCACTAACGATATGTTCTGCTATTTTTAAAAAAATTATTACAGATGTTTCCGAACAAACATAAGAAAACAGTGGACCCATCACTAACATTCAGTGATATCCCATTTTGTCCATGTTTGCAGAATGACAGTTAAATCTAAATGGCCCTACGTCAGGTGTGCTATGTGTATGTTTGATATTGCCAGCTGCCGAGAGTCATCTCCATGGGAACCATGAGGTAACCCCAGGACATCTGTTTGCAGGCAGTGGGTGCATCTCCTCCTCTCCCCTCAGCTCGGAGGAACTCTGTGGCTCTCTTTGGGCTTACTCAAGAAGACATGTCAGAAGACAAAATCTAGTCTACCACCTCACAGCGTGCTCCTCCCACAACAGTGTACGGACAGCTCAGGCCATGCAACGCCGAGGCCCAAGCAGAGCACCTACCTCTCTCTGGAATAAGCAGCTTGCAGGGCAAGGCCAAGGGCGTGATGGAGTGCTGACATACCAGGGCTGTCAGGCTCCCTGAAAAGGAAACAGAGGCACACAGCATCAATAACCTCTTCTCTGCAGTATGCTCACCAAATGTAGGAGGGATGAGAAGGTAACTCCAACTGTGTGTGTGCATGTGTGCGTGCGCGCGTATGTGTGTGTGTGTGAAGGTAATTCCAACTGTGTGTGTGTGTGTGTGTGTGTGTGTGTGTGTGTGTGTACACAAGTGCCAGTCCTGGGGCTTAAACTCTGGGCCCTGTACTCTCATTTAGCTTTGTTTTACTCAAGGCTGGGGCTGTAACACTTGAGCCATATTTCTACTTCTGGCTTTTTGCTAAGATCAGAGTCTCATGTTCTTTTTCTGCCAAGTCTGACTTCAAACCATGATCCTCAGATCTCAGCCTCCTGAGTAGCTAGGATTACAGCCACGAGCCATTAGGCTCACTGGGTTAACTCTGACTCTGATCTCATACATTATCCCCACTAAGCAGAACTCAGGGCTTTGCTAACAAGTATGCTGGAGGTGTGCTGAGTGGCTCTCCCCTTTCCAGGAAGGAAGAGTGCCCTAGGCTGGGTGACTTGCCCTTCCCGGGAAGGAAGGGTGTTCTAGCCCTGGTGAGGCTCTGTGCTCCTTGTGCCTGGGTTTGGAGGTCACCTTGATGGTACCTTGTTAACACACATGATTTCTAGTCCTGATGTGGTGGTGTTTATCTGGCTTAACAACACTTGGCTCTCAGATCTGAGGACCAAACTGAGTGAATCACAAAGTGCAGATCATAAATCTTGGGTGGGCTGACAGAGGTATCTGAAGCATAGTGTTCAAGGATTCAAGAGCAAATTCGAGGGGACTCACCAAAATACGGCTCATTGGAGCAGCCTTTCAACCGCACTCCTTTTGGGGTACACTCGATCAGAAAGTGCCGGACAAGTTCATTAGACAAATCTCCAGCTGTGAACAGAAATTAAAGTAACAATTTTGCAGCCAACGCTGGTGGCTAATAGCTATAATCCTAACTTCTCAGAAGGCTGCGATCTGAGGATCAAGGTCTGAAGCCAGCCAAGGTGGAAAAATCCTTGAGACTCCTAATCACCAATTAACCAGAAAAGAAGCCAGAAGTGGAGCTGTGGTTCAAGTGGCAGTGTCAGCCTTGAGCCAAAAAGGACAGCAAGAGAACAATACCCTAAGTTTGAGCCTTAGTACTGGCAAAATTAAAAGGAAGAAGAGAGGGGAGGAGAAAGGAGAAGGAAAGGGAGAGGAAAAGCTCATGAATTCACCAGATACATTTGCTGGAGAACTGACTGCTGGAGAGAATTAACTAAAGAGTACAGTTTGTGCTCAGTTCTCTTCTGCATACCATTGTCAGGTGTGTGTGGGGAGAGGTAGGAGGGGCGGAGCTGGGGCAGGGAAGAGTGCAGAGCAAGCTAGAGAAAATGGGGCTGCTCACAGCCCAATGCAAACACACCCAAGGGCACTGGGACAGCCTAAAGGGCACCAAGGAGCCAAGTCTGGGGCTTCTGAAGTTTTCCCAAACAATGTGGATGATCCCGACACAGCTGGGAGGAGTGTGGAGACTGAGGAGGGGATTTCGGGCCCCGTTTGCTCTCCTGGGCTGCAATTCCACGTGCTTGCTTCAGAGTTAGTTAGTTGCAACATGTAAACTGGCCATGTTGCTTGCGTGCTTTTAATGGTGATCATTAAAACCCGTAAAGCTTTTATACATCTTTATGAATGGAGTTGTACTTCAAGACCAAAAGTGGCTTTAAGAAAGGAAAAGTACAGGACTGCCAGGACATCACTGGGCTCCTCTCTGCTCTCATCAATGGTGCAGGAGCAGCAGGCAAGGGCAGGCACGCACAGTCCTTTACGCCCAGAGCTGATCATGATCATCTCATGACTCTAGGCTTATATTCTCGCATCACTGTATTTTCGTGTTTGTTTTTATTTTGGCACCAGGGTTTGAATTCAAGGCAAGCTTTCTACCTACCACAGGAGCAACTGGTCCTTTTTTTTTTTTTTTTGTGGGGCGGTGGGTCCGGTTATGGGGCCTGAACTCTGGGCCTGGGCACTGTCCCTCAGCTCTTCAGCTGAAGGCTAGTGCTCTACCACTTGAGCCACAGTGCCACTTCTGGCTTTTTTCTTTTTGCTTATGTGGTGCTGAGGAATCAAACCCAGGACCTCAGGCATGCAAGGCAAGCGCTTTACCACTGAGCCACCTTCCCAGCCCGCTACTGGTCCTTTTGAGAGATCGTCTCAGTGTTTGTTTGGGCCTGTCTACACTGCAGTCCCCCTCTTAACACTTCCTACCAAGGCTGGAATGACAGGCATGTAGCACTATGCCCCTTTATTAAGATTACAGGAGTGAGCCACTGCCACCTGATGTTATACAGCTTTTAACCAACCTGAAAGTGCTCTATTGGGAATATATTCGAGTAGTACAAATGAAGTGCTACTTTTTCTAGAGTAAGAAGGGAAGTGGCCATTTGTCTGTACGGATGCCACCAGTGGAAAACCACTCAGGAAGTACCCTGGATGGGCCCCAGGGAGCAGGAGCTAAGGAGGTCGATGGGGCTGGTGACCAATGAATTTTTCTGAACAATGGAGTGCATTACCCACCATCACAAACAACAGATTCATAAACCTAACATTCTTCCTTGGACAAAGAGAATACTTGGGAAAATATACCTAAAAAATAAGAGATACAAAACAGAAAATCTGTGAGCATGGCGGTCAGTCACTTACTAACTTATTCCCCACAGACAGGATGATGGACGAGGCCCTTACCTTTCTTGTTCAGCTGCAGGACGGAGGGAGGGGGTGTGGCCACCTTCATGGCCAGCCCATAGGCCCCTCGGAAGGAGTGGCTGTCCCGCACAATGAATGAGCCAGGCTCTTTGTCCTTCAACATGGCAATGGCTAGAAGAAACAGAGGTCAGATAGATAAAAGATGTCACCCACTGAGGTCCTTGGCAAAGTTCCTGCTGAGGCTGAAGTATAGCCGGGTACGCACTGGGATGTGATCCTAGTGCCACAATGGACAGACTCCGTTGTCTGGGCATAGATGTCCACTCCAGGACTAGACTAGTCATAGTGAGTGATGGGGCTTTTACAAAGCAAAGGTTTCAGTGTTCTCTTCTCCCACCCCCCCCACCCAGCCCTGCACATGATCCCTGGACTTGATTCTCTACCCAACACAGTGAACCCTTCACAGACAGCCTGAGAAGCAATGGCCTGATACAGAACAATCGGAACTATAGTCATTTCTATTTTACTTTTTGCTTCCTCTTTCATCTGGAAGTGTTTCTATATTTACTTTACAAGATCGTAAGACATTAATCTTGGAACAGTAACATGCAACAAAGCATGGCTCCTTTCATTTTGTTTTTGGAAGTCTTGGCATCAGAACTTGGGGCTCACACTTGCTAGGCAGGCATGTTCTCCATTGAGCCAAGTCCCCGGCCCTTTTTGCTTTAGGTATTTTTTTCAGGTAGACTTTCATTTCATACTTGTTGCCTGGGTCTCTGATCCTCACACCTGCACTTCTCGAGCAGCTGGGATTATAGACTTGCACCTCCACACCTGGACTCTTAAATGTTCTTTTCTGTCCTTTTGCACATCCCTAAAACATCTTTGCAGTTTTTTCCAGGAGAAGCAAATCGCATAGTTATAAAAGAAAAACCAAAGAAGCCCAGGGATTGCCTTGTGGCACTCAGAGTAGCTGGCACACCCAGCAGAATGTAGACTATTACTCTAAGATGTGGAGGAAGTACATTATGTTTTCGAGTATAAGTGGAAAAATCACCAACAATGTACACACTGGGCACGTTAGATGAGAACAAATCTTTCTAAAATGGCCGCTAAAGGTCAGGCAAACCAAGATACTACTGTTTGTCTATTAATGTTCCCAAAGGCCCCTGTGGGTAAAGATTGGTGCCCACAGCCTGCCACTGGAAGTGCTGGAAATTTTAATAGGTAGGCCTGCCAGAAGGTGCTTCAATCACCAGGTGGGCTCTTAGAGGCTGGGACACAAAGCACTTTGCTGGGCACGCACTTCTTGCATGGGGGGACACCCATGCCAGTTGTGGGACAAAGCCAGAAAGTAATGTGATCTTGGATCAGAAACTCCAAAACCAAAAGACAAAGTAAACCTTTTTTCTTCATAAGTTAACTAACTGTCTGAGGTACTTCATTATGGTCATGGAAAGCTGACTAACACAGGTGACAGGGTGCCATACCATTTCTTGTTCATCTATCAGGTACCAGAAGTAGCCAGAGCTCCCCACTCAGTGCCTAAGAGGTACTCCAGGTTATCTCCCCGGTCTGTCTGCTGGAGGAGGCCTTTGCTGCTATGGTCCTTACACAACAGGAAAGAGTAGCTCAGCCCAGCCCAGCCCAACCCACCTCCATAATCCAGAAGACCAATGCTAACCAGCAGGAGGGTATACACAGAGCCCTTTAGAACATAACACCTCCTAGTCCATCTACATAGCGTTAAATAAAGTACTAGGGCCACCATCATGAAGCTGGGCTGGTGGCCAAGAGGACTCAGCCCCTAAAAGCACGGAGCCTTTAAACTTGGTAAGCAGATTTTCACAAAGGTCAATTCAGGGAAAGGCAAGACTATGGGACTGCTTTTCTTCTTTCCCTTCTCTCCTATTAAAAACAACAGCTTCATTGAGCTCATGGGAAGAAACACACATTCTCATAATTTCCATTATCTTTATAACCGAGTGGCAGGATTTCAAGGAGAAAGCCACTTCACTATTCATCTCTGGGCATTCCTGAGGCATGAGTGTAAGGAGAATGGGATGACTTTCTTCTGACCTTGAGATACCCAGGCATAGACTAGCCAGGTGGGTTCCTGCTGGCCACAGGTACAAACCACTTTCCCCCTTTTGAGTCCACCAAGCAGACCCTGGCTTTCCTTCTATTCCGAGGGGTCCAATCTGACCCCTAGTTGCTACGGACATAGCCACGGGCTTCCCACACCAAACTCTCTAAGGGTCACCCCCTCCTCCACCCTCAGACCAGAGCTCCACCCCCTGCCCACAGCAGCCTTCCATGGACCTAGCCAAAGGACAGCAGCTTCCCTAGGCAGAGGGTGGAGTTACAGGCACTTGTGAACTCAAGTGCTTGTCATCAGGCTGGGAATAGCCTGCCAGCCCACATTCAGTGATCAGAATTGGGCTAAAAAATAAAGGAGAAAGAAGTGGCAGTATTCCTCAGTATTGCCAATAACTTCATGATATACATTTAGTAAGGTAGGAAAGCGAATGGCCCCCTTGGTTCATGACACATGACCTAGGTGTATTCAGTATATTCACCCGCATAAACTATAGGGGTATTAGGTGTCAATTTAAAAAACATTGAAGACAGCACTGATTTCAATTTTTTAAAAACCATCTTGAGGCTGAATCAGGAAGATAGATGCTCTATCTGGTTTTGCATTAGGTTAAGTCCAAACAGATATTAAGTGCTTCCCAAAGGGAGCCAACCCAAGTGTCCAGAAAATAACGGGGTCTCTGACTTCCTCCAGCAGGACAGTGAAAGAGGGCATGTCTCTCTCCTTCCTGACCTTGTCCCAGCCAAGATGGTGACATGGGTGGTATGTTTCTCCCCTAGTAGGCAGCCCTGAGCTGGCCTTGTGGCGAGCTGGTGGCTGGTGGAATCAGCAGTGATTATACTCTGCACATGGCTGGGACTCATTCCTCACCAACTCCTCATGAGCGTGAGTTTTCCCCATAAGCCCCAAGGTTATGGCATTCCCTGAGAAACACACAATGAAGAGGGTCTGGTTCTAATCCACCGACACCTCAGGCGAGGTCCTCTCACAGTCCCACCGCAGGACCCCTCAACACCAAGCTGCCTGCACCCCACCCAGCACGGGAGAGGTCCCAGGAGGCCTTGCCTCCCACCTACCTTGCTCCCTTGAAATATCCGCCTTGTACCAGAACTTGGAAGTGTCTTGAACAAACTTCACCATCACAAGTTTATCACTTGGACTGTCTATGAAAGCAAAATGTAAAAGAGTGATTGTGACAGAAGTATGGAGGGACCTCCTGCCTGTGAAGACCTGCCAAGTCTGAAAACCAAGCCCCCAATAAAGGAAGAAGGGAATGTTCTAGAATGTTCTAGACCATACCTGATCTGGCTTGGGTTGGCAAGCTAGTCATGGGTCTACCAGACAACACTGGGCTTGGATACTTTATAACACACTTTTAACTGTACTTTTTTTTTTTTGTCTTTTCTTTTTTGGTACTGGGAATTGAACCCAGGATTTCACACTTGCTATATAAGTGTTTGCCACCAAGCTACATCTCAACCCTACAACACACTTCAAATACATCCAAAAATGGGTGTCATCTGACTGGTATGTCTTACCATGCCTTGCATATTTGTAACACTTCATAACTAAATTCTGGATAAATCTATAATATGAAAATCAAAGTAACTGAAAAAATCTGTTTGCAAGGCAAAGGGAAAAGGGGAGCAGGTGTTCTTTCTTCCATTGAGATGATTCTCAGGTAGACAATAGCAGAAGTAAAAAAATGAGTAGGCACAGAAATGGTGGGACAAAGGATGAACAAATACAGCAGTGGTACTCACTGGACACTATGCCAAAAATGAACTAACTGTACAACTTGTGGGTGGGGATAGGATGGAAAAACTGGGAGAGAGCAAGGGAAAGGGTGGCATTGTCCAAAAAGAAATGTACTCATTACCTGACTTAGGTAACTGTAACCCCTCTGTACCTCACCCTTTATAATAACAATAACAACATTTTTAAAAGAATGAATGGGAAATATTGAAAGCATATCTGGCTTGGGACCAGCAATATGGCTGAGACTCTTTTTAAGAACCCTGGCCCAGCCATGGAAATGCACACGCAGGCCAGCTCACACAGCAAACCCCAGACCCTTTCCTCCCAAGTGGTAAAACAGAAGTGGCAACACATACCTGGCAAAGGTGAGGCCACTTCGGAGGACTTGGAGAAGTCTGGAAGGACATTTGGGAAGGGGATGCTGATGGTGCTGCCGCTGTGGGGGCTGGAGAAGCCACTGGAGGAGGGGGAGACTGAGCCCAAAGAGCGATCACCCTCTGAGGCCCGCTTCTTCTCAGGGAGGGGTGGCTGCCCGGGCAGGGTCACTCCCTGACCCTGCAGGCCTGGGCTGTGGTGGCTGCTTCGTCCAGGGGACATCGTGAGGAAGCTATGGGGTGGGAAGCTGCCATCCACAGCCCCCGCTGAGGCCAGCGGGGGTACCAGGGGCTGGTGATGCCCCATGGCAATTGGCCAACAAGGTCCCTGGGTCCTCACCAGGCAGAAGGCCACCTCCCACAGGGGCAGTGCTGAGACCTAGGAAGGCCTGGCTCCCTGTGGGGGGGAGGGCATCTTGGGGCTCCACTGCAGACAGCTCATGGCTGTGCATCGAGGGCTGGGGCGCTGGCGAGGGAAAGCAGGGCCGCCCTGGAGAGTCCTTGCCAGAGCTGGAGAACTCGTTGGTACCCAGAGGGCTTCCTGAGGGCCGACGGCCCCCCAGCAGGGTGACAGAGGCTTTGGGGCTGCTCTCCGCCCACTGGCATTCTGCAGAAGGCAGACTGTTTGAAAGACAAAGCCAAATAGCCATTAGAGAAGGTGAGTTACCTGAAAATCTCTAACTAACCTGGCCTGTATCTACCTTATAGTTACTCAAGGAGAGCTATGGTTTAAAACTATTAAGTGGGAGATAGCAGAAGTGAGTTTCCAATCACATGCCATTCTGAGTACTGTGAGGAAATCTCACCCCTTCCTACCCCCATCTGTTATTCAGTGTCCCAGTAAAGTCACTAGGCATTCCTAGTGACACAGGCATTTTGGATCAGCCATCAAATACTTGTGTGAAGTTTATCACAGAGGCATAGGAGAAACCATAGCTGATATGGGATTTGGTTCTCTTCATGGTTTTAGACATGAGGCTCATGGACTGACCATCTTCTTCAGATGCAGGTGGAAGACTGAAGTGGAAACAACCACCCATTTAGGAATACAGAAAGATAGGTAAAAATACAACCCACATGACACACATATATTTAGATTAGCAAATAATCAGGTAAGTCCTTATTGTAATGAGAAAGGAGAAAGAATTAGGGGTGGGAAACAGAAAACCAGGTGCCCGGGGGTAACCTTTAAGGAATTTACTTCAACTCTGGCCAGTGGTCCCCCATTGCCTACTATGGACCTCTGCTGGGTAATGCAGGACCTTCTTGTCTTACTTTCCATTCTTGCCATCAGTCTCTCTGCCACTGGGTTTCTCATACTTCCTATAAATCCCATGTCCCCCTGAGCAGCTGGAGACAGCTACTCCCCAACCCTCAGGGTCACTTCTGCTCTGGGCTGGAACATCCCTCTGTGGGCGTTGATCTGGGCGTTGATTCTGGCCACAATCCAGAATCCTGCCTCTCCCCTTCCTCCCCTAGAGCCAGTGCCACTACCAGCTTACCCTACTGTCCTACCTCTCTCTCCTCTGGCCAGGGCCATTGCTTGAAATCGTACAGGAAGATGTGAATGCCTGCTGAAGGCTGGGTGTGGAGGCCACGTCAGCCCGAAGCATGGCGGCTTTGGGTCCAACAGGACTCTCTGACATCCCCACGGTGTGGCTGAGAATTTCTGGGCAGCCTCGTGGCTCTGCAGGAGAAAGCCGAAAGCGAAGACTGAATATGTGATCCAAGGTGTCCAACCTCAACCTTCAGTATGTGCTGTAAGGAATGGCTTCAGTATCTTAGGCTTTCTGGGACTCCTACTCCTTATAAAAGCTGAAGGGGGTAGCTTCCCATCACCATGCAGGATTGCCAGCAGTGTTTCCAGAGATAGCTGCTTGCTCAGGGCCTATACACAGTGCTTCCCATGTTACCTCAGCTGAATGAGTGAATGAATAAATGCCCCATGATCACCCAGGGTCACAACTGGTCTGTTTAGAGGAGAATGTCGGTCTCCTGCTGAAATCAAGTGCATTTGTTTTTAGTGCCAGTCCTGGGGCTTGAACTCAGAGCCTGGGCACTGTCCCTAAGCTCTTTTGCTCAAGGCTATTAGTACCAGTTGAGCTCTACTTCCAACTTTTTTTGGTGGTTAATTGAAGATGAGAGTTTCATGGACTTCCCTGCCCAGGCTGGCTTTGAACCTCAGTCCTGAAGATCTCAGCCTCTTGAATAGCTAGGATTACAGGCGTGACTCACTGGCAGCTGGCTGACATTTTCTTACAATGACTTGACCATCTCCTCCCAGAAAGACCACAATGAGCATTTTAAATTAAATGGTGAATTAGATAACTGTCTTCCAAGTTCATCCATCATGTTTCCCATGGTGCTGGGGATAAAAACACAAAACTATACAGTATTTCAAACTATGCTCTGCATGACTGATTTTCTTTCATATTTGACCTTTTTTCTCAGCGTTAAGGGGATCAAACTCTGGGCCTCTTGATCCATATCCTCAGTCAGTTTCTATTTCCCATCGAAAATATATTTGCTGAACACTAACTCTGCAAACAAAGTTTAGATCCATGGGAAGGTAGAAAAAGAAGGGCCAGGCGCCAGTGGCTCATGCCTGTAATCCTAGCTACTCAGGAGGCTGAGATCTGAGGATCTCGGTTCAAAGCAAGCCCAGGGAGGAAAGTCCATGAGACTCTCATCTCCAATAAACCACTAGAAAACTGGAAGTGGCGCTGTGGCTCAAGCGGTAGAGTGCTCGCCTGGAGCTGAAGAGCTGAGGGATAGCTCTCAAGCCCAGAGTTCAAGCCCCACGACTGACCAAAAAAGAAGAAAAAGAAGGAAAACACACAGGGGTGGGGGGGAGAGGGAGAGCGGGAGAGACAGACTGAGAGACACAGAGAGAGAACAGCACTTCTGCCCTTGGCGGGTGAGAATCAGAGGTGAGACAGCAGGTGAACACAGCCTGTAGGCCTCAGAGACGCATCTTCAGGAAATTCCTTTCTTCCTGGAAAGGCATTAGAAGGCTTCCAGGATTCTGGAAGCAGGAAGGACAGGATGGGTGGGTTTTTGATGAACACTATTCCACAGAAGCCACTTCACCATTCACTGCTGTGTTTCCAGCACTGAGATGGGCCTTGTAGGCATGCCATGTTGGGAAGGTAATGAATGAACCAGAGTGAATGAAGTGAGCAACAGCTAGCTGAGAGGTTAGAGGGGGGAAAGTTCAAAGCACTGTGCCCTGGGGCCTGACTCTGAGGAATGAGTAGATGAATCAGAATAGCTGTTTCACCCCTCAAGTCTCAGGCACCCGTGGGCCAATGAGGAACAGAACAGTCTAGGCAGGTGAAGTCAGTCACTCAGCAGCTCCTCTCATGATTGGCATCACTACCAGAGATCCCTAGTGCCTGTTTTTATTGAGCCTAAAGGCCACAGAGATCAGAGGAACCCATGCCAGGACTCGGCTGCCCAGAATACATTCACAAGGCATGCCAGAGGTGTTCACCAAATGACAAGAGACTAGCGAAGAATGAAACCCTACTTTGTTCCAATTATCACACTTTTTGGCTCAGAAATCAGCAAGCACAGCACTTCTCATGAAAGTGGCTTTGTTTATCTCCCTGTTAGCACCAGCTCTGGGGCAGGCTCTGTAGCTGTGTGGTTCTCTCTGTTCCTGGCCCAGAGTCAGAATTTAACCCTTTAGAGGAAGAAGACAAAAGCACCAGGTCCCGTGTTGATGCCTGTCCCTCAGCACAGAGGGGCTGGCTGCTACTTCTACTCCATCTGCAGAGCCCCAGACCCGGCCTGTGCTTACAAATGCAAGCAGGCAAAGGAATCTCTACTCGGCCAATGCCACAGCAACCAGTCATGTGCTAGATGAACCTCAATTATCACATCCATGGTTACTACCAAGTCCAGGGTGGGGTTGCAGGCAGTAAGAGAGAAATACTGGTGAGTGACCCCACTCTACACAGCACGGGAACCTTACACACCTCTGCCTCCCAGGATAAGGGGGGGGGGGGGGGGTAAAAGGGTTGGGTCCAGTCTCTGGACTGGAGAGCGGAGGACAGTAAATGCACAGGCATGGGAAGTGTCTGCAAATCTTACTCCCACAACTGGTATGTCCGGCAGGCCTCCCCTTCTGCACAAGCTGCAAGAAGTTCACTTGTAACGGAGCAGGCAAGGCAGGGCTATTGGCGCTGTGGCTTAAACTTGTATAGCTGAGGACATAAAATATGGAAAGTGCGAAGGGTGGGCAGGCTGAGCAGGCCACCCCAGGGCCTCAGTCACCCAGCATGAGCCTAAGGATGACCTGGAGCTGGGGCAGTGGGGACAAGGAAAAGCCATGACCTCCGACCTCCGATGCCTTGTGCAGAGCAATAGAGAGCCATTAGATGCATTGCCACTTTCAACTGAAAATGCAGTGAGGGGCCTCCTCTGCTCCCAGCAGCAGGGAACACAGGGCCAAGCACTGAGGGCATGATGGCTCCTTACAGCTACTATGAAAGGGCTGAGGGCCAGGCACCTTCCTTCTAAAGGCAAGCTCTGTAATATGGGTTTCCAACAGCAATGTGGGCACCCATAAGTCCGTTGCAGGCAGCGGGTACCTGATGCCCCCCACAGATCATGGGCCCTGAGCAGAAGCTTCCTGGCATCCTCCTGACACAATGTCACTTCTGTTCCTGATTGTCACAATCATCTTACTACTGGGCTACCCAAGCCCAGAGGCATTACCACACAGCTGGTGTTAGGAAACCCAATCCCATCTCACTTTCAGGATCTCTTTGAAGCCAGAGGCTGTCACTGGCACGCTGTGGGGCTGGAGATAAGATGCCCAGCAGAGATGCTGCACTGCGCCCAGTGGCCACTCCAAGCTGGGCTGGAACTGGGGGCTGGGGTACACCCAGTTCTCCTGGGATCTCAAGAATGCTTGCACTGCTCTCCTTTCTGCTCCCACTTCCTCTGCTTCCTTTACCAGATACAAGGGTGAGGGGGTCACTGGCTTCCTGCCAAATGAGCTATTTTTGTGCTTTCTTTCAAGCCGTGGGAGGAGGGCTCCGTGGGAAGCTGGACACTCCTCCCTGTCCACTGGTGCCTCCTGGTTAAGTCACCAGAGGAAATCACTGTACACACACAGCCCTGACAGGACTATTCGCGTGCACCCCTGCCAGCTAGGCTGGAGCCCCACAAACTAAACAGGAGAGACCTGCCACACACTAAAATTTATGAGTGACTTAGAGACATCACAGTCCATCCTTGGAGATGTAGAAACCTACAATACTTCCCAAACAAAACTTAGGCCCAGTGATGTTTAAAACAATCACAAAACTAACGTTTTCCTGTCTTCTTAATTTTTTAACAATTTTACCAACACATAAAAATTATCCACCCACACATATATTAGGTAGTAATGACAAATTGTCTTTTAATAGTTTACATCATCCTCAGTGAAAAACAAAATATATATATAGCAAGGGTCAGTATTAGAATATCCTGTCCAGGTAAAGACAGTTTGTTAAGTAACTACCTAAAAAGTCATTCTCGGCTGGGCACTGGTAGCTGTAATCCTAGCTATCAGGAGGCTGAGATCTGAGGATCACAGTGCAAAGCCACCTGGGGAAGAAAGTCTATGAGACTCTTATCTCCAATTAACCACCACAAAAGCTGGGAATGGAGCTGGGGCTCGTGTGGGAGAGTTCTAGCCTTGAGCAAAAAAGCTGAAGAACACTGTCCAGGCCCTGAGTTCAAGCCCCAGGACCAACACACACGCACACATGCACACACACAGGTATTCTCAAAACAGCCTTTTAAACACAAGCTAGACTATCCATCTCTCATCTATAACTATTGGTCTCTGCTCTACCACCTTCAATTTCTAGCACTCTTCTATCTGTATCTATCAACTGATTATCTTTCACAATAGCAATGGATATATCATATGTTTATTATCTATTACCTGTCATTTCTCTGTTTCTGGGACAAGGGGTGGAAGTGCTGGTACTGAGGCTGGAACTCAGGACCCAGACACTGTCCTTTAGTTTTTGTGCTCAAATTAGGGCTCTCCCACTTGAACCACACCTCTACTTCTGCTTTTTGATGGTTAACTGGAGACTAGAGTCTCACAGACTGTCCGGCCTGGGCTGGCTTTGAACCAGGATCCTCAGATCTCAACCTCCTGTGTAGCTAGGTTTACAGGTATAAGCTACCAGCTGGCTTGCTATTTGTCTTTTAACTACAGCTAGCCATCTATTTACCGTCTGTCTTTCACACATTTCTGCATCCACATCCTTTCCCTGCTGCTTGAGTCTCCCTTTCCACCATTGGAAGGAGTCCCAAAAAACAAGACATGAAAAATTTCTTTGCCTCCCCCTTTCATGCTGTTTCCAGGTGTGGATTTCAGGGCCACTGAGGCAGACAGCAGTTCTCTGGAGTCCATCAGTCTGGACTCCTTGGCTCAAGCAGCAAGGCCCAGGGCACATCCTCACCGTCCATAACCCCTTGTTCAATTACAGACTCCCACCCACTGGAGTCAGATGAGAGGATTTCTAAGGTCTCCTAGGTCTTCTGAACATTAACATTCAGTTTTTAAAAAGCAAAACTGTAGAGCTAAGTGTCAGAAACCTACCTACTCAACACTGAGATTTAGATCTAGTGCAGTTCAAAGCCAGCCAAAGATAAGTCTATAAAACTGTCTTCAAC